CACAGAAAGAGAAATACCACATGTTCTCACTTATTGGTGGGAGCTAAAAATTAATAATTCACACACACACACACACACACACACAAACTGGGGGGGGGACGAAGACTTAACAACTACAACTCCTTGAGGTTGATAAGACACGCAAATAGAAAGGACATTGTGGGGTGGGAGAGAGGAGAGGGAGGAGGGAGGGGGGTTTCGGTAATGAGCCACAATAATCAACCTCATTGTATATCGACAAAATAAAATTAGGAAAAAAAAATAAAGTAAATAAGTAAGTAAATAAATAAATAAATAATTGTCTGTTTTAATTGCAGTAAGGTTTAGATTTTCTGTCTCTCTTAAATGTCAGTATTTTCATAGAATCAAAGTTGTGAGGTACCTCGAACAATCTTTTTTCATCCTCTTCTTCCTAGTGTGCATATCACTTTCTGCTTTCATAAGTAGACACATCAACAAGCAAATTTTTCTCTTGAAATAAAAACAAAATTAAAAGTAATGTCAGCTTTGTGATAAATTCAAACAGTAGAAGGTTTTAAATTAGTCTCAGAACCCTCCCCTACCTGGCACAGCCAATCCTGGTTAACATTTTCTTAGGTGTATGTTCATAGATTTTCCGTGCACATTTTCTGTGAGTATATATATACACACACATTTATTTTATATATTTTCTCTGCATGTGCATATATATATGCGCACACACACACACACACACACATATGAATATGTGGTTGTTCCTTTAGCAAATTCCCAAAACTAAATGGGATTATGTCGGGAAAATGGAACAATTTTGTTAGGCTCCCTATGAATATGTGGTTGTTCCTTAAGCAAATTCCCAAAACTAAATGGGATTATGTCGGGAAAATGGAACAATTTTGTTAGGCTCCCCTTGCCTCAGGTCCAGTTCAGGGTTGTTCAGTAAATGTTGTATGTGTGTGGGTGGAGTGAGTGTGCCCCCACTGTGCTGCTTTGGCTGGTGTTTTTACTGCCTCTGACTCCTGCCCTGCACAGCCATGTTTTTCCACACCTGCAGCTTTCAAGGACCGTGTGGGTGGTTGCCTAGCTCATAGACCTGCGTGAATGGGTCTGGTGACCCAGCCTGGCTTGTGAAGGGTTTGTGACCCAGTCTGTGAAAGGGCTTGAGGGGTCTGGGAGCTCCAGTCTCAGCCCTAGCTCAACCATTGGCCCAGTTGGTGCAGGATTACTGGCAGGTAAAAGGGCCATGACAACTAGCGTGGTCGCCTAGCTTTACAACTGGTGTCACGAACAGGATTAAGAGCTAGGCAATTGGCACTGTGAGTAGGATTCACGACATCAGCGATAGCCTCGCAGTAGCCTTTGTTGTAGCCAGACAGGTTATATTAAATATTTTTTGTTATAACTTGCTAGGATGATGCTTCAATGGTGATGTTTGAACATAGATCTTTGAGTAATTCTTCAAGTTTATCAGTGGCATACATTCCTAGCAGTGGACTTACTGGGTTAGTGGGTATAACTTAAATTTTAAGATTTTATGAATTTTTGAATGATTTAATATCCTTTTGGGTTTTCACAATGTTTGGTAGTTCAGGTCACAATTTTCCTCACTACCCCAAGTAATTAATTGGGTATAGCCCTCTTCATTGAAGGTTCCTGACCTTGTTTTAGTAATTTGGTTTGAATTACTTGATCTCTCCAAGAGAGTGGAAAGTAGAAAGACGTGGAATTCCTCTTCCCTGCAAACTCTGATTGTTCTCAGCAAGTAACCTCCCCAGCTCTTCTCATCCCCCTGCTGGTGAAGCCCGTAGCTCTGATGCACATCACCTGCCTTGATTAAGATCTTTACAAGCAATACATGAATAAAAATGTTTAGATTTGAACGTGACAAGTTTTGAATTTCTCAGAAAATGAAGTTGACTTCGTTTCACTTCATCCACTTTCGTATGTTAAATAAGGCTTAAATTCCACTTAAACAAACAAGACTTGGTATAGTAAAAGTAAATAAAATCTTAATTAATACAAATTGACTCATTTATCTTTCTGTTCTATCCTTTTCATCCAGCTATGTTAACTCCTCTGTCCTTGAGTCATTTTTTTTCTTTTAATGGCGACTGGTTATTCTCATTAACATGGGGCAGGATATTTATTTAAAATAGCATAGCTCTGTACCCTTCAAAGCTTTGTATTATGTTTTGTGTACATCTTCATGTTTCTTGCTTAATTTTGAAAGCGTGTGAAAATATGTCACATATTGGAGAGAGAGGGACTTTTTCTTTTGTTGGAAAGAATAGGAACTTTCCTAGGTGTTTTTTCACAGGGATTGTTTCTCTTTTTCTCTCCCTGCCTGTAATTCTTGTTTTATACCCCAGACTTTCCATCTGTAGAAAAGCCATGGGGGAAACAAGTGACCCTTTATCTATCACAGCCATCTCCAGGGCGGCTTTATTTTTCCCTTTATTGCCTCTGGTGGTCTGGAGCCAGCCTGGGATGTTGGCATGCACTCTGAGTTTGTGTACTTAACCACTTTAAAGTTCACAGTTGACCTGTTTTTTGTTTGTTTGTTTTAAACAAGTCTCCTTAACATATCTGTGAGGAAGCACAAATTGGAATTTATTGCGTAAAATTCCTCCTCCGTCTCCTCTTAAATATGAATTCCTCAGTCCACAGCCTGAATTTCAGTAACTGACCTTCATTCCCTCCTGTGATCTTTGTCTGTCTTCCTTTAAATTGATATTGTAGCTTTAAGACAGTTCATGTTAAGTTCATGTTTCTGTTGACACTTGGCCAACAGGTTCACTCATTTCTTAAAGTTCTTGAAATGCCCAACTTCACACACACTTAAAGTAATATATATTCATTGTGAACATCGAAAAATATAGAAAAGTATAACAAAGAAAATTAAAATCACCTTCAGTCTCACCCAGATGTAGATACAAGTGTCCCGATGTAGATGTAGTTGTCTTTCAGTATCCACAGGGGATCGGTTCCAGGACCTCTTGGGGACACTAAAGTCAGAGGATGCTCAATTCCCTGATATGAAATGGCATAGTATTTGCATATAACCTATGCACAGCCTCTCTTATACTTTAAATAATCTCTGCGTTACTTATAATACCAAAAACAATGTAAATGCCATGTAATTAGTTGTTATGCTGTATTGTTTAGTGAATGATGACAATGACAAAAAGTCTGGACGTGTTCACTATAGACACAGTTTTTTTTTAAAGAATATTTTTAGGGGCCGGCCCGGTGGCACACTGGAGAGTGTGCCGCTTGGGAGTGCGGTGGCGCTCCTGCTGAGGGTTCGGATCCCATGTGGAGACCGGTTCCCGCTCACTGGCTGAGCGTGGTGCGGGCGCAACACCGAGGGTTGCGATCCCGTTACCGGTCAGTAAAAAAAGACAAAAAAGGAAAAAAAAAAAAAAGGAATATTTTTAGTCTGTGGTTGGTTGAATCCACGAATATGGAGGGCTCACCGTTCTTTAAAAAAATCTTACTATTTACATCCAATCTTTTTTTTCTTTTTTCTTTTTTTTTTGTGTGGCTGAACTGTATGGGGATCTGAACCCTCGACCTTGATGTTATCAGCGCAATGCTCTCCCAGGTGAGCTACCCGGCCAGCAGCCAGCCCTGACGTTTTTCTATGCATGTCTGTGTGTTACCATCCTTTTTTTTTTTTTTACTTAACATCAAATTATGACTGACCATTTCCCCATATCATTAAATATTTATTTGAAAGCATCATTATTAATGGCTACATAATATTTCAGTCTGTGGCTATTCTATAACTTATTAGATCATTTCCTTGATATTTAATATTTCCATTTCTAGCATTCTTACTGTTGTGACATTGTGTTGACCGTCTTTGTCTATAAAGTTTTGTTTGTGTCTCTGTTGGTAACCTTGGTATAGAAATCTGGAAGTGTAATTGCTGACGTCTTTCTAACATCTTTCTTTCTACTTATACAGGTAATGCATGCTTATTGTAGAATATTTAGAAATACAGAAACAATTAAGTAGAAAGTGAGAGTCCACCATACCCTCCTATACCCCAGGAAGCACGTGATTGCTGGGGAGGGTCGTGAATATTTTCAGTGGTCTGGCTGCACACTGCTACATTGGTTCCCCTATTAGTAGTGTCACATTGCATAGCCACTGGTTCACCACAGTCTTATTCATACATTGAATACACGTTTGTTGCAAACCTTTGCCAATTTGGTAAATGGAAAGGTCTCCTATTTAAAGTAAAAAAAAAAAAAAAAAAAAAAAAAAAAAAGGCAAAGCAGCTCTTTTAACTTTGTATGACTTTGAGTAACAGAGTTTGTCTTATTGTCTGTTTTTTTATCTATGTGAATCGTCTATGCCCTTTTGTCCATTTTTTCATTGAAAGATCCTAGTGTTTTACTTATTTATTTATAAGTAGTCTTTATAATTAAATGTATTAGGTGGTGTCATAGTTATTGTAATGTTTTCTCAGACTGTAGTTTGCCATTACATTTTGTTTGTGAAGTTTTTGATGTAAACATGTTAAAACATTTGGTGGACTCACGTCTTGATCTTCCTTCTTTGTGACTTTCTTCATTGAAATTCTGCTTTAAAAAGTCATCTGATAGACTGGTAAATATAAGTCCGCGTCTTCTTTTAGTTTGACTTTTGCATTCACCCTTTAACCAATATTTGCCAATGTTTAAGTGTATTGTGGAGTAAGGATCTAACTTGATGTGAAATATCCTGATTTAAACAGCTTTCTTGAGGTATAATTTGCACACAATAAAATTCACCAATTTTAAGTGTATAGTTTGATGAGTTTGGGCAAATGTAGATAGTAGTGTCTCCATCTCCACAATCAAGATGTAGAACCCTGCCATTGCCCCCAAAAGTTCCCTCATGCCCCTTTGCAATTAATGTCCTTACCTGGCTCCAGGGATCACCAATATACTTTCTGTTGCTAAAATGTTGCCTTTTCTAGAATTTTATAAGCATGAAATGTTGTAAAAGTATATATAATTGTGGTTTTTTGAATCTTGCTTCTTTCATTTAGCATGATGCCTTTTGGATTCATGCATGTAGTGATGCGAGTCAGTAGTTTGGTCCTGTGTATTGCTGAGTAGTATCCCATTCTAAGAGTACACCACAACTTGTTTATCCATTCACCGGTTAGTGAACATTTGGGTTGTTTCCATTTCTTGGCTATGGTGAATAATGCTGCCATGAGCATTCATATACAAGTCTTTGTATAGACATAGGTTTTCATGTCTCTTGGTAAATTCCTAGGAGTAGAATTGCTAGATTGTATGGTCCGTGTGTATTTAACTTTATAAGAAACTGCCAAACTGTTTTCTCAAGTGGCTATAGCATTTTTCGTTCGATTATCTGAGAGATCCATTTGTTCCACATCTTTGCCTACATTTGGTATTGTCAGACTTTTTCATTTTAGATATTCTAGTGGGTATGCTCTAACCTGAATTTTAAGAGCCAGTTGTTCCTGCCTCTTTTGTTAAACAATTAGCTAATGTAAAAGGCACAAGGTAACAGCACAGCGTAGGCATGATCAGGAAGTGTAGGGTGACTGGATTGCCTGCTGATGGTCTGACTGTATAGGAAAGTTTGAAAGTTACCAAATAAGAAGAAACCAAGCAGGACTTTGTGGTGGTTATTTGTGAAGATTATGCCTGTCACATCTGGAATTTGTGCTTTCACTGTTCCTTATACCAAAGAATGTGTCCCTTACATCACTGGCAACAGGATTCTCAACTTCTGAATTTCTCATAAGCCTTGTCAGCTGAGCCGGTTATTTTGGAAAGGATTTGTTACCAAGGTTAGTGCTTTTATGAGTACATATGTGTAACTTCATTTGTGTCCTATTGGTGGTGTTCTGCATATGGGAGACAGCAGTGGCAGTGTGGTCAGGAAATGTATTCTGGAGATAGACTTCCTGGGTTTAAAACCTTGCTCTACCACTCACTGATGTGGCCTTGGGCAGGCTACTTAATAGGTACCTATTGCATGGGATTGTTGAGATGGCTAAGTGAAAAATGGTGCCTGATACCTAGCACCCTGACCTTGATATCTAATACCATTCTTTGTTGGAGAAATAGCTGATCCTAGGACAGGGGCAGGAAATACACAAGATCCTGTAGCATCAGAAAGTAAGGAAGTACTCAAAACAAACAATAAGCAAACAAATCCCATATTGATGGGGGTACATCAAAGGGCCACAGGAGCCGACTGAAAGAGCTCTCAATGGCCAAAGCTGGAACAATTTGAGCAACAGAATAAAGTAGTGTTGGATTATTCCAAAGTGTAAAGTTAATTCCCATGGGTGATGTAAATAAATTGTGTCATAGTTTGGGTGTGGGTAAACATAGTTTGGGTATCTACAAAACTCATGTTGAAAAAAAAAATTTTTTAAAGGCTAGTCAAGTGAAGCAGTGGGATTGGAGAAGGAACAAAGAAATCTGTAACTGGTTGTGGTCAAGTAGTCGTAAACACCACTGCAGCTGGACCAACCTCATGTTGAAATTAGATTCCCAGTGTGGCTGTGTTGAGAGGTGGGGCCTAGTGGGAGGTGGTTTGGTCTTGGGGACGGGTCTCTCATGAATAGATTAATGCCCTCCCTTGTGAATGAATGAGTTCTTACTCTATTAGCTCCTGTGAGAGCCGGTTGTTAAAAAGAGCCTGGCATCTCCCCTCCCTCTCTCTTGCCATGAGACCTCAATGCACACACCAGTTCCCCTTCCCCTTTCCACCATGGATGGAAGCAGCCTGAGGCCTTTGCCAGATGCAGCTGTCCCAGAATCGTGAGCCAAGGAAACCTCTTTTCTTTATAAATTACCCATATTCAGATGTTCTCTTATAGCAACATAAAATAGACTAATACAAATGGGGAGAATAGAAAAGCCTCCTTTGCAGAATTCCAAATAATTTTTTAGAAGCTCTGCCCTTAAGAAGGTGGACCATAACTCCCCACTAAGCAGTGTGGGCTGTGCATAGTGACTTCCTTCCAAAGAGGCCAGTATGGAAAGGGGGGAAGAAAGAATAACTTTACAATGGAGAAACCTGAAAACACTACCTCTGCCAGGTGATCAAAGTCACCATCAACAGTGGTAAGTCATGTCGATTCCCTTATTCCCTTGACATGATGTGATGAAATGGTACTTTACCTTTGTGTTCCTCCCCCAAACCCAGAACCCTGGTCTAATCATGAGGAAAACAGCAGACAATTTCAACAGAAGGACATTCTACAAAATAAGCTAGCCAGTACTCCTCAAAACTGTCAGCATCACCAAAACAAGGAAAGTCTAGGGAACTGTCACAACCAAGAGGAGCCTAAGGAGACATGATAACTAGATGTAAGGTGGTGTCCCGAATATGATCCTGGGGAAGAAAGAGAATGTTAGGTAGAAATGAAGGAAATCTGAATAAAGTGTAGACTTTAGTTAATAATAATGTATCGGTAGTGGTTCATTAATTGTGACCAATGTACCATACTGTTTAAGATGCTAGTAATGGGGGAAACTGCGTATAGAGTATATAGAAATTCTCTATACTGCCTTGACAATTTTTCCATAAATCTTAAAACTATTCTAAAATAAAAAGTTTAATAAACGGTATCTGACATGTGGTAAGCTCATAACAATGTTAGTTATGATCACTTAGCTTGGTTTGTTTTGGTTTTTATGTTTCTTGGGACCTGGTTCTGGTTAAGGTTGAATTCACCTTGTGTATAATTTCTTCACATGTAATTAGGAAAAACATATTCTAAAAGACAGTTTGATTGGAGGGCTGTGAAATTTTTAGAATGTAATTTAGGGGGCATCCTCCAGCCACTTTGTCCTTCTTATCCTTTTAATCTCACTGTTGCATTTATATGGATGGGCTTTTATTGAATACTGGTCATGCAGGCACCCTTTGCTGAGCATATACCAAAATTCCAGACTCCCAGAAGGAAAGCAGGTGTTCAGCATAAACCATATTGTTTACACAAGCAGTTTAGGGACAGTGTGCCACTCTTACTATTTAGGAAATGATGGGAACCCCTGGAAATACAAGTTCCAGATGCCAGCCAAAGGCCAACCTTGCAAGCAGACCTAAGGAGAGTAGTCTCAGGCCTGCTGTGTGAACTCTTTTCTGCACAATAATAGACTATGATCTTCCTGTAGGGAATAATTCTGGGCTTTCCAGTTTAATCCATCCAAGAGAAGGGGAGAATTGGGTGTTGTGTTAGCAAGCAGCTTCTAGTCTATTCCTTGACTAGAAGAGTGGGGTTAGGTAAGTTGGGATGAGGGTCTGCCTGAGGACAGAAGGATGTTGAGGTTGGTTGAATTTTCCCCCAAAGTTTCAAGTTTGGAGGCTCCACAAGACATTTGTCAAAAGTGTTTTATAAGGTTCCAAAGTGGACAGATTAGTGGTAAGTGCCCAAGCCTGTTTGTTTTGAAGAAGCTTCTTGAAGATACACCAAAGAATCTTTCTTGCTTGGTTTTGGGACTTAATGGGAAGGTTGTCTGTTTCAGAGAGGATCTGGGATTTAGTTAAGCTGTGGTTGTCAAGCAAGTTATGACTTCGGTTTTTTGTCAGAAGGGATATGGTAACACCATCCATCTCCAGAAGTTTTCATCTTGAGGATCTGGGATTTAGTTAAGCTGTGGTTGTCAAGCAAGTTACGACTTCGGTTTTTTGTCAGAAGGGATATGGTAACACCATCCATCTCCAGAAGTTTTCATCTTCCCAGACTGAAACTCTGTACCCATTAAAGCTGACTCTCCCTTCCTCTTCCCCCAAACCTGACAACCACCGTTCTACTTTCTGTTTCTATGAATCTGACTAGTCTTGTACTTCATGTAAGTGGAATCCTACAGTATTTGTCCTGTCATGTACAGGTTTTTGTATGGACGTATGTTGGCATTTCTCTTGGGTATATATTGTAGGAGTGGAATTGCTGGGTCATATGGTAACTCTAACATCTTGAAGAACTGCCAAACTGTTTTCCATAGTGGCTGCACCATTTTACCTTCCCGTCAGCAATGTATGGGAGTTCCAGTTTCTCCACATCCTCACCAACACTTGTTACTATCTATCTTTTTTTTTTTTTTGAGGGGAGGATCGCAACCCTTGGCACGGTATGGTCTGCACCATGCTTGGCCATCCCTATATAGGATCTGAACCCACGGCCTCGGTACACCAGCGCTGCACTCTCCCGAGTGAGCCACGGGGCCGGCCCTATCTTTTTGATTCTAGTCTTTCCAGTGAGTGGGAAGTGGTATCTCATTGTAGTTTTGATTTGCATTTCCCTAATGACTAAATGACATTGAGCATCTTTTTGTGCCTATTGACCATTTCTAAATCTTCTTTAGAGAAATGTCTGTCACATATGCCCAACTTGTAATTGGATTAGTTGTCTTTTTATTATTAAGTTGTAAGACTTATTTATATATTCTAGATACAAGTTTCTTATATGATGTATGATTTACAGATATTTTCCCCCAGTCTGTGCGTTGCCTGTGGTTTTGCTTGTTTTGAACTTTATGTAAATGGAATCATACAACATGAACTCTTTGGAGTGAGGTTCTTTTGTTCAGCATGACATTTGTAAGATTGACGATATTGTATGTAGTTGT